AGTTCCTACTGGCTCTGTGTGTCAGACTCATTACAAACCAAAGAGTGGGTTTTTTTCATAGTAGTTTTTTGTTTTAGTTGGTTCTTTCCCCCCCTCAGCAAACCAGCACATAACACTGGACAGAAACAGCAATTTCAGCTCTAGCAGAGCCACATCTGTGATGTGCTCCCCGATTTTTACACCCAGCTCAGTACAGCAAACCTGAAACGTGTAAGGTCCCTGAATGTTTGTGGCAGTGACTTCTCTCAAAATATTGCCAGGGAAAGGAGAGATAATTTAGAGCCTCAACCTTTGGTGTCAGATGTATCATGTTTCTCTTTTCCACCTCTCCACAGTCCCAAAATTTTACTTACTGTCTTAAAATGAGCATTCTTAAAACAATTAAGAAATAGCAACTCAAGCAACAGCCATCACAGTTCTTCTGAGTGCTAATAAAGCAAAGGCAGCGAAAAATAAACAGTTCCATGATTTATGTTACTAAGAAAGCTTTATGATTATCCTACTTAAATTGAATTAAATGAAATGAAACAGATGTAGGTAATTTGTTAACCAGACTCAAGGAATGATTATGCCCAGAACTCAAATTTAACATAAACTATTCTGGCACAACAAGTGCGACTGAAGTTGCCAGTGATACAAAGTCAGCAGAGATCACGAGAGGTCTAAAATTAAATACTGCCACATCAGAACGACATAATAAGGCCATGTATTTCAAGATTATTATGAAGAACTTCAAATACGAGTTCAGTTAGAAATGACTGGAGAGAAGAACCTGAGTGGTTTGCTAAAGCATAAGAAAACCACCTCAAGCAGCCAAAGAAGGTGTCAGGAGAAGCATCAAGGAAAAAATAGGGAAGGATTAGGTCATTTTCAAGACACCTGAGTATCTCAGGGGGATATTCGGGTTAAGCAATACCTGAATCATTTGAATTTAAACATAACAGCTCCTAGAATGCTAGGGGGGAAAAAAAAGCATGTTGGGAATAGAAAATAAACCCAGCTTTTCTTAGCCCAGCAGATCAAAAGGTGAGAGATACGAATTCTGCCTATAAATACACCACATTGAATACAAACTACAGGAGGGAAAAGGCCATTAAGGAGAGAAGCACAGTGCCACAGCAACAAAGATGCACAGAAACAGTCAGTACATAGTTAAACAATTAAGTTCTGCCCTAGTTCACTGATTAGAACAGCAGGCACAAAAAGTACCTACTTAAAAAATAACGATAAATAAATTTATTAGAGGATTCCCTAAAATTAAGCCTTTAACGATAAGGGATGAGACCAGATCGCCCAGGAAGCTCCTGCTAGTCCTTTAGAAGTAAATATGCACACTCATGTCTGGAGCAGAGCAGCAATCCAAACAGCTCCCATATGTTCTGCTCCGGCCTGTCTGGAGCAGGGAAAGGCTGTTCCTTTGGCAGCTCCGAGCTGGAAGAGCCCAGCAGGGCCCACGCTTCCTCCTGTCTGGACAAAGCAATTCCCGAGGTGCTGTCGGAGGGCTGGAGAGCTCCGGACCGGGGGAGGCAGGGGCCGGCGAGCCGCAGAGGCTGGGCCGGGCAGTGGTGCCCTCACGCCGAGGGGCTCTGCCCGCGCTCCGCTGTCCCGGCCCCTCCGGCCGCTGTGAGGGGCGGTCAGGGCGGCGAGCCCGGCCCGGCCATCACCGCCCCCACGGCGCCGCGGGGACACCGGGGCGCACCGGGCAGGGCTCGGACCTCCCGACCTCCCTCCCGTCCTCCGGGTCCGACCGCCCTTTTACATAACGGGCGGCGCCGCGGTTACACAACGGCGGGGCTGCCCCGGCCCGGCCCGCGGTACCGGCGTGAGGGACGGCAAGGGCCCCCCCCCCGGGTCGCCTCAGCCCCTCAGCGCCGCCGCCATGGCGGCCCCTTCCCCCCGGGTCACCTCCGCTCCCTCCGCCGGGTCCGGCACCCCAGGGTTGCGGGCAGGCAGCCTTCCCTCCTTCCCTCTTTCCCTATCTCCTTGCCTCCCTCCCTCCTTGCCTCTTTCCCTCCCACCCTGCCCACCACCACCGCCAGCCCCTCATCGCCCCCTCATCGCCCCCTCACCATCGCGGCGCTGGGTGCTGCCGGCGAGCGCCCAGCCAGCCGGTCCCGACGCTGGGCTCCTGCTCTTTCCTTTTTTTTTTTTTTTTTTTCCCTTCTCTCCTCCCTCCCTTCCCCCGTGTTTACCTCCCCGACCTGGAAGTGAATGCGCCTGAGCCGGCCGGGCCGCGGCGCCGAGCCCGCCCCCCTTAAAGGGGCTGCGGCGGCACAGAGCTGTGGGGATGCTGGGGGAGCGGGGCCTCAGAGCCACCGGGTAAGCTCAGAGTGTGAGGAGAAAGGGCCATTGCTCAGCAAAACCTCTCGGCCTCTTTGGTTACTTGTGTAGGGAGGACCTTCCTGCCGCCTGGTTGCTGTGGGTTTGGAGCCAGGATCGGGAACAGCGAGGCGCCGGGGAGTGCCCGGGCTGGAGCAGGTGAGCAGCAGCTCCCTGGCTCTGGGGGCCTCTCACAGCCATGAACCGGCGTCACTTCTTGCTCACAAGCCTCTGGAATTTAAGTGTTTCCTGCACGAACTATTTTATTCTGGTAATATGAATAGTAGCCTGCACCGGTTCAATAGCGGCTTTGCCATAAGGAATAAACTTTTACATACGAAGTCATTTCAGCATTCGGATATAGTAGTAGTGAGGAATACCTGTCTCCCGACTAATACTACAGTGTATTACTTGTAAAGGGAATAGAGTTATTTTTTGTTTCAGGATACAAAGTAAAGAGTAATGCAAGTACCCTGACCAAATAAAATTAATTTGGAAAGAGTTTACTCTTGAAGAATTGCTGATTCTACATACAGAAGCTTTGAATAACTGCTGTTTGCAAACCAGCAAGACACATAAATACATATTAAGGTATAATAGCTAAAATAACTTATATTTCTGTCATTACAAGATGATAAAATATCCTACAAATACCATGAAGCACAGTTTTGCCTGTTTAAGGACAACATAACAAGGGTCAGTTATAGTCCCAATTCTTTAGATTAGGGTGTTGATGTAGAGAAAATAAATTATGTACTCTGGATCTGACAAGAATAGAATTAAGAGTCTTCATGTTCTGAATGTAACTTAAAAATCTAATCTCCTTAGAAGAAATAATTTATATAATTATGAGCACAGAAATTAGCTTAGATTAGGAAGGAGCTGGTATTATTATTCTTGGTCCATTATGAGTTTCATCCACTTCCTAATGTCTTTGCAAGCTTCCAGGCTGTTCTTTTGATACCTCTTAACAAATTCACTGATTCACTGCCAACTTCTCAACAGATGTCACCTTCTCTTCCTCATTCCATATGTATTTATGATAGGAACTATCTTCCTTTCTCCTGTCTGGGTTCATGCAGTGAAAACTTTGAAGTGACAGACTGGTCCCCTGCTCCCAGTGCCAGTTCTTGGCCTGCCCTGCTGTACTTGGGAATTCTCTCTGTCACTCCATTCCCGGTTTGGAGAGGCTGTGTGGCTGAGTTGGCCCTGGCTCAACATCGGCATCAGAAACTGCAAAGGCAAAATCCCAGCAGGAGCAGACTCTTCAAGGACTTAAACCAACAAGCTCAAGGAATTTCTACCTAACTCTGTGCAAACTGGAATGTTTTTCAAAGCTGGATTTTCAGAGAAACAAGATTTCTGGTACAAAACCAGTTCCTTTTCCAAAGGCCCTCTCCGGAACACAAGCTTCCCACAGCCTCCAATCTCAGCCAGGATGGACCAAACGATGTGTATGTTCTTACTCGTGTTCTCTAATGGGTTTGGATCAGTACATTTTGAACACAAGATTTTAGCTTCCTCTGAAAAATGTGTTTTAACTGCCACCCAAATTTAGAGCAGTCTGAAAACTTTTAGGGAAATACTTTAGAAGCTGTAACTGGTGTTTCAGCCATGTGCTCAGCAGGGTTTGCTGATGGTTGGTCACAATTAGCTCCAGCCCTTAATAAATTATTGGGCTTTTTCCTATGGGACTCTCTGCACAGGATTTAACTGAGTTTTATTTATCCTCAAAACTCTGCAAGCTGGTCTTATCCTCCTGAAATAATTTGGGACAAAGCATTTGCAGATATTGTCTGTAATTCATTTTAACTCAAGCGTACTTTTACATTAATTTTAACTCTAAGCAATTCATCTATCTCTAATTCATCTCTAATGTGCTGCTTTACAGAAAATTCCATTTGTGCTCAAAACTGCTGGAATTGGATAGTGTGCCATGTTTTGTGTAATTATTCTAATATCACATTCGGGTTAAGTTCATCCATAGTTCTGTTAAGTGCCCATCCCTGGAAGTGTTCAAGGCCAGGTTTGATGGGACTTGGAGCAACCTGGCCCAGTGCAAGGTGTCCTTGCCCATGGCAGGAGGGTGGAACGAGATGAGCTTTAAGGTCCCTTCCCACCCAAACCGTTTTGTGGTTCTCGGATCACTGGAGACCCAAGGTTTGATGTGTGTTTAGTGCTTACCAGTCCCTGCCTGTTTTTAGTGCCCCTGGCTCTGCCAGCTCAGAGACATGCGGTGTCAGGTTCCAGCTCTTCCAAGAGCACCTCCAAGAGTTTTGGTGGTACCACAGGAAGGGGCGGTTCCTGAGAACAGTCTCTCACCGCAATTGCGGAATTATGGAGCTGTTAATCCAGACAAAAGCATGCAGGAGGCAGATGGGGGAATGGGGGAAGCAACCATGCAGAGCGCATTAATGTACGTAAGTCTCAACTGTCTTAGTCTCAGACGCGTCTCAATTTGTGGATTGGAGTGTTCCGAATCAGACCTCGGGAATACGCATCCGGTGGTGCAAAACTCCGAGAGTAAAATACTAACGGCGTGCTATCGCTTAAAGCTGCTGAACTGTCCAGAGTTCCTGGTGATCGCGGGAGGGAGCGGAGATGGGAGAGGCGGTCGGGGAAGGAGCAGGAGGAGTGGCCGGGGAAGGGGCTGGAGGAGAAGGAGCGGGAGGAGTGGCCGGGGAAGGGGCGGTGCTGGAGGCGGTGCCGGTGCCGCACCGAACGCTCGTTGCTCGCGGGAGCGGCCCCGGGATCTCCCCGTGGCCCTGCGCGGTCATGGCCGGGTTCATCAACTTCGCGGACGAGGAGGAGGTGCGGGCGTACCTGGAGAACCTGCACGTGGAGTACAGCTACCAGTGCTTCAAGGAGAAGGACCCGGACGGTAAGGGCCCCGCCGCCCCGCGCTGCCGGCGGGCCCGGCGGGCGCTCAGCCCCTGTGCCGTGCCCCGCAGGCTGCCAGCGCTTCGCAGACTACCTGGACGCCGTCAGGAAGGACTTCGCGGCCGCGGCGCGGGTGATGCGCGACAACTGCGAGGAGCACGGGCACAGCGAGAGCTGCTACAAACTGGGGGCCTACCAGGCCCTCGGCAAAGGTGGGCCGGGGGGGCTCTTCCTTTTGTAAAGGTGCCGAACGCCTGGAGGCAGAGAATTGAATCACCAGGGTTGAAAGAGGCCTTTAGGATCATCAAGTCCAGCCGTTCATCCAGCACTGCCACTGTAACCCCTAATCCACATCACCCAGTGCCACATCCAGACACCTCTTAAACACCTCTAGGGATGGTGACTTCTCCACCTCCCCCATCAATACCTGGCCACGCGAACATCTGCACGTCCTCCTGACCTTGAAGGAGCAACCCCCTGTCTCGCCCCTTTCATGGACACCTCATAAAAGCAGGGGAAGGGTGGAAAACCATAAATTGCTTCCTTCTGAAGTATCAGCTGTAGGTTAACCACGTGTATTATTTTTTTATAATTACACCTGTATAAGTGGTAAGTATGGCCAGGGCTTGATGCTACAGCGTGTTCGGTTCTTAACATTTGGATTTCTTCTCTTTTAGAGAAAGTAAGAAAGTCACAGGCTGGTAAACCTGCTTACCTAGGTAGCCCCCAAGTCTGACCAAAATATATTTGCTGGTACAGTAATAGGAAGCAGTTAAATGAGTGCAACGTCTTCTAAATGACAATACTAGTCACAATATAAATAAAGGAACGATATTTGTACTGTAGCTCAAAACTAGTAACAGTCTCTGAAGTCCTAAATGTTGACTGTAGCATCAGAACAGAGGGGTGCTGTATTTCCAGTGGGAAGGGAAGCATGCTGCAAAGCAGAGAGACCTCCTGTCTGTTTTAGCATGTCCTCACTGAAATGTTTTGGTTTCTTGGCTGACAGGTGGACTTGAACCGGATTTGAAAGCTGCCTACAAGTCTTTCCTGAAGTCATGTGAGAAAGGTGGGAAGAAGTCGGTGAATGCCTGTCACAACGTCGGGCTGCTGGCCCACGATGGGAGAGTGAACAATGACAAACCCGACCCCGTGGTCGCCAGAGACTATTACACAAAAGCCTGTGACGGCAATTTTGCTGCCAGCTGCTTCAACCTGGGTGTGATATATCTGCAGGGGGCACCTGGGGTCCCCAAGGACATGGGCCGTGCCCTGAAGTACTCCCTGAAAGGCTGTGAGCTGGGCCACGTGTGGGCCTGTGCCAACGCCAGTCGCATGTACAAGCTGGGAGATGGCGTGGAAAAGAATGATGCTAAGGCAGAGGATCTGAAAAACAGGGCAAAACAGCTGCATAAAGAACAGAAAGAAGCTTCGAGTTCTTTGGTGTTTGGGGAGTAAAGTTAGTTGCAGTTGTTAAGACTGCGGTTTTATTCAATGGCAAGTGAAATTATTTAAATTGTGAGCATACGGTTTTCACTTAAATAAATATCCTGTATTTGGATATGCAAATAAACTTATATTTTTGTGGATGCAGTAAATGACTAACTGCCGTGCCTTTCTACATTTTTGAATACACAAGTTCTTTAAGTGTATTGATCAGACACATCCTGTGTTTTAAGGAAGGTGAGAACTGGCCTGTTGGAAGCTTGTCCCCATGGTCTCAAGTACAAAGGCTCTCTCCTGTGTCCAGTCCTTCAGCACCGAGGCTTGTGCTCAGAGCAGTTGTAACACAGAAATCACAGTTGCAGGTAATCCCAGCCTGGGCACTCAGAACTGTGCCATGTCCCTCACAAGCACTTGTGGAGCTTGGATAGCTGCACACTTGGGTGAGCTGCTCTAAGGCAGGGATGCTCAGCTGTGATTCCATAGGCTTAGGCCAATTCCCAGCTCCTGATCTCCTCCACTTGCCAGCTGGTTTGTTCACTGTGTGGCTGGGTGCCTTAGGCTTGCTCTCCAACATGTAATCACCCCTTATTTAATCACACACGAGTTGTTTTACTCTTCTGACTGCTTCTGAATCCTTATATTCTGTTTTTTACAATACACATTTAGGGAATAAGGTGCTAACTGATCAGATCTTGGTCTCAAATCCACAGCTTAATTATTTCCAAAGTAAACATGCAGATTCTGGAACAGCTGTCCAAATAAACCAGTGTGTGTTAATGTATTCATGCACTGACAGGATCCTTTCTAATTTTGGTGTGTATAAATACATGGGAAGTTTGTGATATGTGTGTGTTATGTTTTGCTGTAAATTCACCACTGACTTAGAACACGAATGCTCTGGTCTGAATAAAGGTACAAACTTACTATTGAAATAAATGAAGTGGGATTAAAAGCAACACTAATCTGGCTGTTGCCATAACTGAAAGCAGAATTGTCAGAATCCTTCTGCATGTATGAATTAAAGCTTGCCTATGCTTTGCACGTACTTCCTGGAGAGGAACTGCTTCCTGCTGGAATGGAAACCCCGGTGGGACAGCACAGCAGCGACACGGACACACTGCAACAACAGATGGCAGTGTATGAAAACATTACTGCAATGGCTCTAGGGCCTCTGGCTTGTGTATTCAGCAGCCTGGAAAAACAAACAGTGGTGACAACAGTGAAAGTAATTCTTCTGTTAATATTTGATGACAGTTCAGGAAGGTAAAGCTCTTTGAGGAACACGCTTTGCCCGATTCTTTGCTATTCTGGACATTTGTTTAACTTGGGAAAGGTAAGTAAATGCTACCTCTGTGGAGTGTAACACTAGTAATAAAACAGTCTGGAAGACATGTGCAGAAGTAAGCAATTACTGTTGGGTCAAGGCACTGGAGAACTGGGTGACATTTTAAGCCCTGACCTGTTTTTTGAGCTTGTAATGCTCACTGCCTCAGAGTGGCCTGTTCAGATCCTCAGTCCAAGCACCAGAGCAAGCTTTCTTCCACCAAGACTAATGATTTTTAGTGAACCCTCCCAGGAACTTCCAATCAACACAGGCACCTGGGAACATCCTCAGTAAAAGTGACGTTTCAGACAATTAGAGCCACATATAAGGTACATGCTGTGGGGAGGCCTTTGCATAGCACTTGAGGCCTCACAGACTTGCATGGTTTACAAATTATAAAAAGAACCATTTTCATAAAAGCTGTCAAGTGTGTTGGTAAGATAAGTTTATGAAGTATCATCCAATTTTGTATCACTGGTTGAAAAGGCAGACCCAAATTAAGGAAGGGTTTTTTGGGTTTCCAGTCTGAACAATTTGCTGCCTGTTCTGGACACACCTACACCTTTTTTCACAGATACTGATGATGCTGTAACAGATGTAACAAATTCTACATGGTTAATGCGGTCTGTAGCAGAGTATAGACTAGGAATAGCAGTCTTTTCTCAGCCTCAAGATTATATTCAGGAGACATAATCAAAATCTGTTAGGAGGTGAAAATTGTCCTGCAAATCTTGGCTTATAACCATCTTGCTCTGGTATTATGAGGGTATTATCAAAAGGTTGATATCTTCCTGCTCTTTCTTTTTACCTGATGTTACAAAGGCTAAATTTTATGTTCTCCTGGGAAGAAAACTTTCTTCAAAGCCTCTGAGATCGTAAAGAAAGAGTGACAGATATGTGATCATAATAGCATGCTTGGAAATATGGAAGAACCTGTTAATCTCTTCAGGCTCAGTGGGTTTTGTAAGAAATAAAAGCATTTGTCTCAGCTTCCCAGCTCCTAAACCACTGTGTGCTTTCCCTTTCATTTGTTTGCACTGATCTAAGCTCACACTGACCTCTGTTAACAGAGCAGCAATACACTTCCAAAGGAATGGTGACCAACTCTAATTAATTAAATAGACTTGTGAATGCATGGCTGTAAATGATGAAAGCATTCTCTGCAGGATGCTTCCTGCAAATGTGGAAAGATCACCAGTGGAGAGCCGGCTTTGTGCCGAGATTAAAAACACTGGCGCCACTTCATGTTGTGTCATTAAGTGTCATTTGGGTTAATTCTGGACAAAAGATGCTGTTGGGTAAAGGAGCCACGTGACACTGCAGAAACAGAAAAACAGGCTTGTTCTGGTGGTTCTGTTTCTGTGTTTATTGAAATAAAAGCAGTTTTGCAGCTTTCTCACCGTTTATTCAGCCATCAGGAGCAACTCCTCTCTGCAGTGTGTGTGTGAAGGGACAGTGTGGGGGACTGTGTTTGTGTCATTGCCACAGCAAGAAACCAAAATAAGAGTGTTCCTTGTTACAGCACAACCCTTTTGTTGTGCTGTGCAGAAAGAAAGACTCTGTTGGCAATTTTTCACTCACCATATAAGAGAGAAGAACCCTCAAGTAGCTCCTCTTCTCCTTTGGTACATGATGAAGGAGGAATTCCTCCTTCCCTTGTGCTTCCCAACAGCTCATCCACTAGACCTCAGAATGACACAGCTCTGCTCAGAGTTGGCCTTTTCAGGGGGCTGAAGCAAAAAGAGAGAGAGGAAAAGGAGTCATGACACAGCAAGAAACAGATTAGAAAATAAGCAGTTTCAGTTGTGTACCATTGCAGTAATCTGTGCTGGGGTAACACCCAGGGGTTCAGTTCAGCCCATTTGTGTGCACCCATGGTGACACCCTGATGCAGAGATGCACAGGCTGAGTCAGGATTGTACCAAGTCCCTGGTACATATTTCAGTAGTAAACATGGGTGTCCTGCTCTGATTTTCCAGACACTGTATCAGCAATATGGCCTAGAATCATCACAAAACAGATTTCTCCAAGACTCAGAAGACCTTAAGGATCAATTCTGTACCAAATTTTCAATGTCTGGTTTAGTTTGCCATGTCTGTAGCCTCCCAGTGCTTTCATTTTTCAGTATCCACACTCAAAGCAAGCACAATAACAACTAATTACACTAATTTCAGATTATATCACATATTTCTGATTTGATGTTATTGCTGTCTACTCCTAACACTACTTACAATTACTACTGCTATATTCATTCCAAATGTTTTATGTTTCTTACAGACACACCATTTCAGTCTTGTTTGTAATACCATGATATGGCTTTTTAATATTTTAAAAAGTATTTTTGTAATCCTTTCTCTCCCTAACCAACTAGTAAGAAATTTGTGTGCCATGGAATTACAAAATTCAGGCCACTTTGGAGTGCTGATTTCAGGTGGGGATTTGTGAACAGCATAATTGTAATGCATGGATATGCTCCCATTCATGAGTGTGGTGGGAGTTCTCTGTAAGATCTCATTCTATCTGTGCAAGACTGAAGTACGGTGCTTTAAACAACCCTGGAGAGTTTTCCTTAGCAACTGAGAGGCTTCTGATGGAAGGGAATAAAGAAAGAAGATGAAAATCCTACATGTTTATATCACAGTTGTCATCCACAGCATTCTAGTGCACTTCACCCAGTGAACCACAAAACACAGAGTCCTCTGCAGCTCCCAGAGCCATTCCATACAGAGCTGGGGTAAGAAGGACTTCAAAGAAAATGTTGTTTGGCCACGATGTAATTTCGTGACTTGAACTAACCTGAATTTGTGTTACAAGTTCCTTGTTCTGACAGTCCTTGTTTGACATCATGGCCTGGTCTGAGCATCTCATTGTCTCACAAGAAACACAGAAAAGAAGCGGGCTGGTTTCCTTCCAGCTCTCCTGCCACTGGAAGCACACCACGTCCCTGTGGAGCTTCCTGCCCAGGAAACTCTCTTTGCTTTGCAACAATCTTTGCTGCAAACTGCTGGGAAGGATCATCTCTGTACTTCAGGAAAGGAGGACAAGGCACCCACTGAGTGACAACAGGCTCATGGCAGGTCACACGGTGTAACAGGGAACCAAAGTGATCATTCTCCAAATCATATTTAGTGTGGCAAGGACTTGTCAATTCTTTGCAAGCCAAGAAACACTGAGATGGGAAACTGGCCTTTGAATGTTATTCAGATAATATTTATGGAGTCTTATTCCAGAAAGATGTGATAGCCACCTCAGCACGAGTGTCACCAATAACTGCTGAAGAGAAAATAAGAAGCTGTGACATTGTCAACACCAGAAGCAGCCTTGCTGAGTTACTTCAAGGGAGTTATTTTCTGTGCCTTCTTAAGTGAAGAGTTTCTCCATCGTTTTCTTGTTTCTTCTGCAGTTGGTCCAAAGGCCCTCAGAGAGATCAGATATAATTTGAAACCCTGAGCTTATTCTCAGTTCTCTTCTGCTGGGTTTTGTGAGCTTTACACCTTCCTCAGAACCCAGGGGTTGATGCCAGAGAATGCCAGGGACTGACACAGTTACAAAAGCCACAGAATCTGTGAACTAATTCAATATGAGCAATGGTTTTAGAGGAGCAGCACAAAGCCTTTGTTACAGCAAACACTAAAAACTTCCCACACCCTTTAAGAGTTAAGCAAAACATCTCTGCAGTGCACTTGGCTGGGTAATTTGTGCTTGCTGTGAACTGCAGCAGGAAATGCCCGAGTGTGATGTTTGCTGGCTGTTGTGTTCATTGCTCCCACAGCAGGCTGTGGACATTCCAGATCACACTGTCACACCACAGCAACAGTGCTGATCTGTTGATGGCTTAAACTGCAACACAAATTAAGAGCTAGTTAATACAGTTCTATAAATGACAGGAGATAGGTCATGTCTAGTGATCACTTCTAATTCTCTGTGAACTTTATTTCCTAATTTAATGCCATTCTAATATGTGTGTTAAACTAAAACCTATGGTCTGAGAGTATTTTCTTATGCTGCAGCTGTACCCTAGTGATCTTTAGGTAAGAATGTAGAGCTTTCAATCCTTCCAAAGGCAGGATGATTTTGCCTTAGACACCTTGCAGTTACAAGTTGCAGCCTAAGGCTATATTTATATCACAGCAGAGCCCTGGAAATGTTATATATATTATATATATATATACTACTTTCCCCATTATAATCTTTGGGGAAAGATTTCAAGAAAGGGTTTTGACCTATGATTTGAATAAATAAATAACCTCCCCTGGATTTCAATGACTGTTTCTCCTCAGCATTTTGCTGTTCTGACCCAGAACACTTGCTGTCATCCCACAGGCAGATAACACTGCACCACTTGATGAGAGTGTGGAGCCAAACTGTGGAAAAGTTTTATATCTTAGGAGCTCCAGTGGGATTGTTGCCCTCTGGAGAGCCAAAGGCAAGGTCCTTTGCCAGGGTGCATTGCCAGAATCACACACACAGCCTGGGAAAATGGCACAGAGAGGCAAGCCAAGGCACCTGGTGCTCAGGAGCCCTCGTTGCAGAAGCTTCTTAGGGCACTCAAAAGGCATTAATGCTGGGGACATACATAGGGTGACAAAAAGAAAGTTAG